GGGGGGGGGTTGCTGCAGGTCGTGTGGAGGCTGGGGGTTCTTGTGGTTGGAGAGTCAAGGCCCTGCCTGGGGATGCTGTGGCTTCTCCCTGTTGCGTGCCTCCGTTCTTCAGCGCTGCCATAACAGAAACACCACGAATGAGTGGCTTGAAAACTAGAACTTTGTTTCCTCACGGCTCAGGAGGCTAGAGGTCCCCCACAGGAGGCTAGAGGTCCCCCACGCAGGGCTCTCTCTCCCTCTCATGGTGGTTGGCCAGAGTCTGTGGCCATCTTCAGCTTTTTAGCTCCCTGGCAATCTCCATGTGGTATGGCATGGATTGGTGTGTGTGTGTGTGTGGGGGGGGGGGAGTTCCAACAACCCGTGGGAACGGAAGGAAAAGGTAAGAGAAGATTCCCACTGATTGTTTTGAACCCCCTCATAATCTCCCATCTCAGCTAGCTGGACTGTTTAATCTCTTACATCTCGGGCCTGCTACTCCCGCCAAGAGCTAGGCTGGGAAGCCCCTGGGGCAGTTCTACCCTGCCTATCGGGTCACTAGGCATTGGAATGGAGTGAGTTGGGTTTGTTTTGTTTTATCTTATGAACTTGAAGGAGCCCTCGTGGCACAGTGGGTTGCATGCTGGGCTGCTAACCACCAGGTCAGCAGCTCAAAACCACCAGCCGAGCTGAGGGAGCAAGTCGCGGCTTTCTGCCTCCAGCCTCAGAAGCCCGCACGGTCAGTTCTACTCTGCCCTACAGGATCACTAGGAGCCAGAATGAACTAAATGGCCGTGAGTTCCCTTTGTTTGATGTCCGAGACGGATTTCAAACACACCCTACACTCCTACAGGCTTATTAACAAAGAAAGCTCTTTGCCAAATAGAATTCTAAGCACCACAGGGAGGGCTAGGATTTACATATTTTGGGCAAAACAAGTCCATCCCTTACAGTGTAAGTCCCTGTATACATCCACTGAGGGTCTCCGAATCGGAAGTCTCAATCCAATGGAATGAAAGGGGTCCTTGTTGGGAAGGAGATCTTAGATACTGAGGTCCAGATGGGCTGGGGTCCCTGGGGCACAGCTGACCTCCTGGAGAGTGCCTTGGGAAGAGGTGGCCCTAGGTCTGGGGAAGGGCAGGGCCTGGAGCCTCCAGGACCTTGTAGAGCAGGGGTTCTCAACCTTCCTCATGCCACGCCCCTTTCATACAGTTCCTCGTGTGGTGGTGACCCCCCAACCAGAAAATTATTTTCGTTGCTTTTTCATCACTGTCCTTTTGCTACTGTTATGAATCGGTCGAACCCTGTGAAAGGATCATTCGACACACAACCCCAAAGGGGTCGCGACCTACAGGTTGAGAACCATTGCTGTAGAGGGGACCCCGTAGCAGTAGGACTTGCCTGGGAAGCTCTGGTGGGGGAGGGGAGGGAGGTGCGAGATAAGCCCGAGTCTGGAGATTGGGAGTTCTGGCTTGGGGTGCTATGAGTTTGTCTGGGGCACCGTATCCAGAGGTGTTTAGGGGAGAGGTTTCCCAAGGAGCGAGGGGCGAGGAACTGGGAAGACTTATCAGGAGAGGCCAGTGACTTGTTGGAGGGATGGCAGTGCTGAGACCCAGACAGGGGACCGGGACCTTTCGGAGCCTGATGTCTGGGTCCCAGGGTGGGGAGGCGATGAGCCGGGTGGGTCCCAGAGGCCCGCATCTGGGAAGAAACTGGAAGTTTCTGTACAGCAGAAGGGCCAGGGTGCGGGCTCCGGGACGAAGGCGGTGCCCAGGAGTCCCCGATCCTCCTTGAGGGTCTGTGAAAGGACCCTAGGCCCAGTGAGGTTGGGAGTGACCCCCCGGGGCGAGGGACTTGCGTGTGGGTCCCCGGGACGGCATGGGGGTGCTGCTCACGTACCCACGGTCGTGACCAAGGTGCTGGTGAAGAAGAAGGCCGAGGCGAAGTCCCAGGTGACGTCCGAGGTGTTGGCGAACACCGTGCGCCCTAGCCGGCCGGCCGCCAGCACCCGCTCCACCAGGGCGTCCAGGGCGGGGGCGGCCACGCACGG